AAGATAGCGTATATATATATATATATATATATATATAGATGAATTATGATTTAAAAATTGTATTCAAATTTATTTAAATTTATATTTATCAAAGAAGGCCAAATAAAAAATAACTAGTTTCAAAAAAAAACACATTGAACAATATCCAAAAAAAAAAAAAAAATATTGTTTTCCTAAGCATTTTTTAGTGATTTTTTCTTCTTCTCGTTTTATTCCTTTTTTTGGGATTTCATTGGTTTTTTTTTAGTGTTTTTTTGTTTTGTTTTGTTTTGTTTTGTTTTGTTTTGTTTTGTTTTGTTTTGTTTTGTTTTGTTTTAGTTTTAGTTTTAGTTTTAGTTTTATCAATTATTTCAACAACTATGCATACATACGTTAAATATATATATATAGATATATGTGTGTGTGTGTATATATATAATAAATGTGTATAAAAATTGTAAAATAAAAAACCTATATAAACGTAAAAGTGTTTATGCAACAGTGCAACAGACGCGTGTTGCAAGTTTGTTTTTCTTTCTTTTATATGCGAGGATTTAGAGGTTTTGGTTGCAGTTGTTGTTGTTGTTGTTGTTGTTTTTATTTGTTGTTATTTTGTGTTTTCACTTGGATTCAAAAAAATATATATATATTTGATTAATTTAAATTGAATTATTGTATAAAATGCAGTTGACATTATTTTAATTTTCTTTCTTTGTTTTAAGTTTAACAAATTAACGAAATTGCTTTTTGTAACTGTTTTTGTTTTTTGTTTTACTTTTTTGTTGCTGTTTTTTTTTGTGTTTTTTTTTATTTTTTAATAACATTTTTCCATTTTTTTTTTTTTTGTTTTAGTTTTGTTTTGTTTGTCTGTTTCGTTTTATTGTTGCAGATAAATTTGTACGGTTTTCAAATTGTATTTAAACTCTGTTTTGTTTTTTCTTTTTCTTTTTGTATATGTATATGCTATAGGAAACTAAGTGTGTGTGTGTGTGTATGTGTGTTGTGTGTGTGTGTTGTTGTTGTTGTACAATATTCTGTTGCTTAAGCCTATTGCTCTTTGCGGCGCTTTCGTCCCGAATTTATTACTGGTATTTTTTCTTCGTCTATTGTATTTTATTTTCCTTTTTTTTCTTTCTGTTTTTCTGTATCTGAGGCTAGTGTAAATGTATGAAAATATTGGGTATCGTTTTCTTTTTGATTTTGGTTTTTTCTTCTTTTTTTTTTTTTTGTTTTTGTTTTTTTTTTTTTTTTTGTCACTAGTGTTTAACGAGATTTCTATTTACAGTGGGTTTTAACAACAACAAAAAAATATGTGTTTTTTTTTTTTAAATATAGATTTACAATTTTTTTTTTTTGCTTTTTTTTTTTTTTTTTTTTATATAAAAATTGAATTTGTTTTCCATAAGTTGCTTAAACACCTGAATAGCATTTAACATATAACAATTTTTTTGTTTTTTGTTTAATATTTTTTAATATCGAGTTAAATAAAGTGTATAAGTATATAGCATATATATATCTGTGTGTGTGTGTATATATATATATATATGTAAAAAATATTAAAAAAAAAAGAATATATGTGCATACAATATAGCATTGTATAATATATATATATATATATATGTGTGTCGGGGAGCGGAAGCGGGAGCGGTAGGGGGAGGGCTGCGACAGGTGCGCAGCTGCTTAAGTATATAGTTTCTTATAATAGTATTTGTTTGCCGTGTATTCAATAATATGCTTGTCCCTATATATATATATATATACAACGCGTTTGCAAGCCCTGTTAGAAAAATAGAAAAATTGTCCCAGCAATTCTTGTATGTTTGAATTAAGCCTAGGTTAGTTAGGAACCCAGATGTACCAGGTAAAACATCAAGTAGCAAAAAATGCAATACATATACAAATGTCGTGTATGCATCCTAATCAATTATATATACATATATCTAGATATATATTCATATATATTTATATATATATATATATATGTTGAACAATTTGTTGAATATTCCATGAGCGCTATTTGCCAAAAAAAAAAAAAAAAAAAAGAACAAGTGCCCATAAAAAAAGCTACTTACGCACTAACTTCGTTGAAACGTATCGATCAGATATATATATCATGTCATATATATATACATATATATATATATGTAAGTGTGTGTGTGTGTGTGTAACTCTAGTTAGTTGTACTAGCTTCCTATTAGTTTCTAGTTAGTGTGTGTTTCTTATGCTGTTCTTGTTGTTGTCGTCGTTTTTTTTTTATCAAAAACAAAGCAAATTAAACCTAAATAACAGTTTTCGCATCAAGCTGTGTTTTTCCTACTTTCTTTTTTTAAGTTTTTGACTTCATTTTTTGTTGTTGTTTTTTGTTTGTATTGTGTTTCGATACCAACACAAAGTATTTGAATAGTATTTATTGTAAGTATTCTATTGAATTGTATCCCGCATATATATACATATATATATAACAGTAACTCCTCTGCATGCATACATATACGGATATATATATATATATATATATGTATATATATAGCTCCTCTTATTAGCAAAAAAAATCGACAGTTGAACAGCTGACAAAGTTTGCTTCGGCTCAAAAAACATTTGCAAACTAAGCAGCCAAAAATTTTACATTTTCTTGTTATTCCTCTCTCTCCCTCTCTCTCTTTCCTCCTTTCTTTCTATTTCTTTAGTAGTATATCTAACAATATGTTCCTATTGCTCCTATTATCCTTGTGCTTCTATTTTTCTTTTTAATGGTTTCTCGTTCATTCTCGTCTTACTCCTTCTCTTCCTCTTCGTCTTCCTCTTCATCTTGTTTTCGTTCTCGACTTCGCGTTTCGCATTTCATATGCATAGTTAGAAATTTGTTAAAGATATATCCTAAGCATATATATATATATATATAGCATATATCAAGTATGTGTTTGGGGGCAAAAAAAATACGTTTTAATAATTTCTAAGTTTGTATAAAGATGTTTACATGTTCATTATGTAAAATTGAAAAGGGTTTCTATATATCTATGTATATATAATTCTTTATATCCAAAATATTTATGGAGTAAAAAATAAAAAGCAAAATAAAAAAAAAAAACTCGCATAAACCGCGCATCGTGTTTCTATATAGGCAGTAAAAATTGTTTAAGCGCATCTTGCGTATGTCTAGGAAAGCTATTGCACCGATATTGCGGCCGATAACAGTTATACAGATATATACCCGTTATAGATCTATCAATGATCGGTGAATTTGTAACGTTTTTGAGACGTTCTCGTCGTCGTTCTGCTAGCTAAGGATATATACTCATACATATATATATATGTATTCTTGTCGTTGATCGTGAAAAAAAAACTATACAGCTAATTGTATAAAAAGATATAAGTGTATGTATATATATATATATATATATTTAGATCTATATATATATATATATATATATATATATATATGCCTAAAGTAACTCTATATTACCTTAATATGTAAAAAATTGTATTTCTTTTTTTTTATAGAGTTTGCATTTCATTTGCCCTCATTTTGGCGCTGCTTCAAAAATCGCGCTCAATTCTACTGCTTCTCTTTCTTCACTTCCTGCTCTTCCTGCTCTTCCTGCTCTTCCTCTCCTCTTCCTACTCTTCTTCTTTCTCTTGCTCTTCTAATAACTGCGATTGCAAGTTATCTTTTCAAGCAATCGCTGCGTGTTTTGACTCTTATATTCGCTCTGCTTTCCTTCTCTCTCTCTCTCGCTCTCTCTTGCTCTCTCTGACATTCGCACAAAATGGCGACCATGCTGCCAGCTCTCTCCCTCTCTCTTTCTTTCCCGCTAACTGCCTGCACTCCCATTTCGCGCATATCCTTCTCTTTTGTATAACATGTTCGTGTTGTTTGGTTTCCTTTTTAGTGGCTCGTTCGTTGCAACTTTGTCTGTTTACCGTTTCCGTTTCCGTTTTTTTGTTTTTTTTTTTTTGTGTTTTTTTGTTTTTGTCTTGTCCTTGTTGTTCTCTTTTTTGTTTTTGTTGTTATTCATTTCATGGTTAAGTAAATAGAAACTTAGATCCTAAGCATATGTACAAAATAGGATAAGGATAAAAGAGGATTCGCTTGGGGCAAAAGGGATTGAACAAAACCATTTGCGTTTCCGCGTTTCCCTTCTAATTCTACTTAATTATCAACATATCGTTTATAGTTTTTGCTTCCAACTTGCATTTTGCTTGCTTCAAAATCAAATCAAAAAATATCACATTAAAGAAATCCAATTTAAATCACTATCTTACAGATACACCTAAGCATATATCCATATATATACATACATACATATATATATATATGAACTATATAGAGCAGTATATAAAGCCAAAGCTGAAAGCTTTCAGAAAAGCATGTCTATGCGTAGGTTATATATATATATATATGTATATGGTATTATCTTGTTTTTTTTCTTTTATATTCTTTTTTGTTGTTTAACTATTCTATTCGACGATCGTTTGTTTATAGCATCCGATGTGTTTTTAAGCAGCATATTTGAGAAAAAAAAAAAAACAAAAAAAAAATGTTACATCTAACAGCATCGTCAACTTTATCATTATCATTGTTGTTGTTATCAGTGTTATCATTATTTGTATTATCATTATCATTATTGTTATTGTTATTGTTATTATCAACATCGAGACTTGGTTCGATCGATCGTTCGTACGCTCTACTGGCTAATACTAAAAACTGATATTGAAGTTCAAAAATGCTTCTGTGAGCCTACGTCAAAATACACTAAAAAGAATTATCGTGTAACTTTTGTGTGTAACACTTTTTCATATGGTCATCATCATTTCGGTTATTTTGCTTTTCCTTATTTCCCTTTCCTTTTCCTTTTCTTTTTCAATGTATATTCATCTTGGCCGGGATCGCTTGCAAACGCGTTGTAACCTTATGTCCTCCTCCTCCTCCTTATTACCCCCCTGCCCCCTCCCCGGCATATCCACAATGATGATCCCTACCCCCCCTCCCTCCCCGTTTACCCTTTACCCACCACTTACGGCTACCGCTATCATCATTCAGCTGCATTCTTGCTCAGACGCAGGCGGGCGAGGAGCTCCTGCTGCTGCTTGAGCTTCGCCTTCAGGAGCTGCCGCTTGAGACTGAGGTCGCGCTCCTCGCTGGTGAGATGCTCGCAGAGCTTGGCCGCCTCGCGCAGTATGTTGACCTTGGGCGCACGCTCCTTGTCCCGTATGTTGGGTATCTGCGTCTTCAGCGCCTCGAACAGATTCTTGAGCCCGATGCGCCGCTGACGCTCCATATCGTTGTGCAGATTGCGCTTCTCAATCGTGTCCGCCTCGTCTATGCTGAGCTGGCGCTTCAGCATGTTGCTGCTGTTGTTGCTATTGTTGCCGTATCTGTTGCTGATGGCGTTCACACTGGGACTCGTATTCGCGATGCCAGCGCCAGAGCCGGAGCCGCCTGTGACAATGGAGTCGAGCGGGCTCTTGTCATCCAAATCATGGAACTTGGACGGCCGCTGGGCGTAGCCGGCGTTCACCTTCTTCACGCGACTCTTCTTCGCCGCGACCAGGCTGATCATATTGCTGCGCTTGTTCGAATACATCCTCGACGTGCAGTCGGACATGTAGTAGGGCTTGCGGCCCTTGCCATCCAACATCGTTGCGGGCGGCGTTGTGCAGTCGCTGATGATGCTACTGCTGCTGCTACTGCTGCTGCTGCTGCTGCTGCTCTGGGAGAGGCTTTCGGGCGAGTAGCTGGCCGGCACAGCGCCGGCGCCCTGATAGGGCGTGCTCGATGGCGAGGCGTAGCGCGAATTGACTACGGACTTGACCGGACTGCTGCTGGCCGGCGTATAGGGTAGATCGAATCGTTTGGATTGTAGGATTCGGGCATCACTCGAGATTTTGTAGGCGATATTCGTTTGCAGAGCGCGTCGATCACGATCCGATGGATTTGTGGGCAATTTCTTGTCATTGAGCGAGACAACGTCGATTTCCTCATCTGTAGCGAGAGAACGAGAGTCAGACAAAACGAGCTCTAATTAGTAACGAGTAGCGAGTGACGAGTAAGTTTAATTTGAATGCAAAAGAGAATCCTTAAATATGAACATATCGAGAAAAATATAGCAACGAGTGAAATTGAAAAAGTAGTAAGCAGCTGGACGAGTGCCTTGCCTTGCAACGAATGAACAGTAACGAGCAACGAGTGACGAGCAATTTCAATTTGAATGCAAGAGCATCCCTTAAATATCACATAGCTAAAGAGAATCCTTAAATATGAACATATCGAGAAAAATATAGCAACGAGTGAAATTGAAAAAGTAGTAAGCAGCTGGACGAGTGCCTTGCCTTGCAACGAATGAACAGTAACGAGCAACGAGTGACGAGCAATTTCAATTTGAATGCAAGAGCATCCCTTAAATATCACATAGCGAAATCAAAATAGTAACGAGTGGAATTGAAAAAGAACGAATAACTGGACGAGTGAGTGTCTTGCAGCGAATGTACAGTAACGAGTTGCCAATAACTAGCTCATATCAAATATAATATAATAATATTATATACTAGTACACAAGCCTCGCAAATGTCTAGCGAATGTCAACGACAGTTCAATGACTACCCAAAGCATAGCAACACGATGATGTCATTGTGTGTGTGTGTGTGTGTGCGTGCGTGTATGGGTGCGTATGTGTATTGCGTGGGTGGGCGGATATGAACGGTGGAGGGGGGCAGGAGACGGGCGTTATGGCCCACGCAAAGCGGATTACTGTGTCAACGTTGCGAGGCAAGTGGCCCGACGACACTTGCAACAGTATCAGAATTCAGGAAGCAATAGATTTGCGCACAGACAATGAAAAGCGAGAAAACGCAACCCCCCTCACCCCCTCCCCCCCACACTCGCCCTAAATTGACTTTTGACGTCAGAAAACTTAAGATGGAGGTGGTTGGTAGAGGTGGTTGGCGGGCGGGGCAGGGGCGCCTTTTGCGTGGGTTGCGCAACGCACTTTGCAAAAGCAAGAACTACAATTATCACAACTAAGGCGTGAAGGCAAGGCCGCCGATAACGGCTTAACGCAAATTTGCTGTTTTGCATACAGAAAGAGAGAGCGAAAGAGAGCCAGAGAGAGAGAGATAGAGAGAGAGCGCAGTCTACACTTCCTCTGTTGCGATCTCTAGCCACCCGCGACCACCGCGGGGGGTTTCAGCTTCCGTTGCTAATTTGGCTCTTCCGTTGGCGCGCGCGTCCATTGAACCAAGTGGCGTCGACGTCGACGCAGACGCCGCCGTTGTTGCAATCAAATGTAGGGCCAGCCCCATTTTGAATGCGTTTAATCAAATTACAAAAACTGCCGAAAAAATATATAAGCGAATGAAAAGAAAATGCGAAATTAAGAAACTTTTGCTACAGCTTATCAAGCTGCTACTAATCCTTCCCCCCTCCCCCTCCCCCCTCCACCTCTCGTCACACCCACAATCTGTCCCTAACGAATATTTGCACAAATGCTGATAACACATGTATGCATGTATGCATGTATGCATGTATGTGTACATGTGTCTATGCGTGTTTGTGTGTGTTTGCCGTTAGCCTCGGCAACTGTGCAAGCGAGCATAGGACAAAGATCAAAGGAGAGGAAGAGCGGAGAGGCGGATTGTCCAAATAATAAAATAAAACCTAATGGAAGAGAGAGCTTCAAAGTTCAAGCTGCAAAGCTTCAAGTTCCGCGCTCGATATTTCAAGTCCAAGTCCAAGTCCAAGTGCAGTGCAGCAGAGCGAGCGACCGCAACCGCGACCGCGACCGCAGTGAACGAAATCGAAATCGAAACCGGGTGAAAGAGAGGGGGCAAGAGCGAGAGGGAACTGAAGAGAGGCAGCGGCAGCCAAGCGTTGCCCCAGTGGGCAACCACCTTTGGCAACATGTTGCATGAGTCAATTGCGGCAAAACGTTGCATTATCATCAATACACGTTTAACAACAACAACAAAAAAGTCACCCAACCACCACCGAACGCGATGATGAACATCATCATGCTGTTGGCTAGACAAGCAGCAGACCTTACCCGAGACCCCAGCAAGAATGTTGCCCAACGGCCATTTTTTTTTTTTTCTGCTTTGCTTTGCTTGCAGCCGCAGCAACATCAATTGGAATGTGGCCGCAGCAGCAACAATGTTCCTCTGCATGTTGCTGACACAGCACAAAATGTTGCTGTGCACTTTTGGCATTTTTTCCATTTTCTCTTTTGTTTTTTAAAGACCACCACAAAAGCTCAAAGCGGAGATGAGCAAGAGAACGAAAGACCGCACACAAGCGTCGACATTGCATGATTTGCATTTTTACGAGGAGGCGGCCGACAAGTAAAAATTGTTGTCAACAACAACAACAACAACAACAACAACAACAACGACGACAACAAGAACAACAATCACCACAAATGGCACCTCATAAAAACATTCCAAACGTTGCACAAATCGATCAACTGAGAATGCGACTATTTTACCACTGTCAAAGTGCAAAAAAAAAAAAACAATTATAATGAACAGCAGATAAAGGGGAATGCATACAGCGGGAGGGGCTGGAAGTGGTGCAGAGTTAGGTAGCAGGCAAAGCTTACAGACGTAAAACAAATGCATAAGCTAACAGTCGCAGCTTTAGAGCTGCTGCTGCTGCCGCTGCTGCTGCTGCTGCCGGCGTCGCAGCTGCTAACGAAAACCAGACAAACTCGTTTACAGCGCTGACCGACAACTTGGCAACTTTTGTTGCTAAGCGCGCCAAGATCAAATCAAGACAACAGCTAGCTAAAATAGTAATAATAATAATAATAATAATAATAATAGTAACAATAAAGCACAATTGCCAGCCAAAGCACAGAGGAAACAGCTTGTTGCTGTTGCTGGCGTAGTTAATTACAATTGCAAATAAAATGCACACACACACATACACATGCACACACACACGAGCACGGCACTTAATAAGTTGCGCAACTTTTATGCAGCTGCCGGTTGCCTGTGGGCGGCAAGCGAAGAGCAACAAAAGAGCAACAATAAACACAAACACAAACACACGCACACATTTGCCCTATAAAATTTGCATACGGAGTTTAATTGAAAAACGAAAGATGCACTGCGCCAGAGGACAGCACAAAAGGGACAGCAAATGACAAGTGCATTGTATAATTTACGGCAATTCGATATGAAAGAGCGTGGGCACACATAGAGCGAGAGAGCGAAAGAGCGAGAGAGCGGGGATCAAAATGCAGCACAGCGTATGTACATATGTATGTATGCATGTAATTTCTACAAGCGGCCAGCCAGTCAGCCAGACGCAAATGTTAATTTCGGCGCAGCAGGCGGGCAGCGACGTCGGCGTCGGCATCGACGTCATTGCTGCCCTCGGCTACAACTACCGCTGCTTTTGATAATACCCGAGATAAAGAGCAGATAGAAAGAATGAAGACGAAAAAGCTGTCGCTGCTGCTGCTGCTTCTGCTGACGCTCTGCTCTCTCCCTCGTTTGCACACCACTTAAGCACACAAACACAGGCGAAAAAGCTTTAAAATTGAGCAATGTAAACACAACTGTATACGAAGCGCGCAAATGAAATTGAAATCGAAATAAAAGTAAAAATGGCATATGATGTAATTCTCACATGAGGAATTTCAAGCCTATAAAAGACGAGACGCAGAAAATTATGAAGATACAGTGGTACACAGGCGGCAAACTTTGTTGCCCACTGTGCAGCGAAAATTCACAAAATACTTATAAGAACAAAACTATTATACAAATCTCTAGCAACAACACAAAGCTGGCGACAATATGGCAACGCCCTCGCATCGGGCAGCGGGCAGCGGCAAGTAGGGGTGCTGGGTGTGGTCGTTCAGGTTGTTGTTGTACGCTTGTTAAATTGTTTAATAACATTTCTTATGTTCAATTGTTATTTTTGTCGTCTTTCTCTCTCTCTACCTCTCTCTCTACAACTTGTTCTCTCGCTTTACGCGGTTTCTGTGTTCTGTTTACGTTTTCTTGTTCTTACGCTCTTTGGACACACAGAAAATATAATCAAAAAGCCAACACCAAAACAGGAAGAACTAGAAGAAGCACGAATTTCAAAAAACTCGTTTCTTTTTTTTTTTATTGTGGTTTATTCATATTCCTGCATTGCAATCAACTGGAATTTCACGACACTTTTGACAATGATTTCATTGTGAATTCGAATAATTCACAATTTACATGTGCGCATTTACGTACATATTATCAGTTTATTGGTTTATTATTCATGTTCCGTAGAAATCTAGCTGATTCTTAGAAATCTCCCATGACGACAGCATTTGCAATTTCATTGGACGTCGTACAGTGCCCGCAAAACTGTGTTCCCACGCTCGCGTAGTGCCTGTCAAAGTGCAGGATGAGGCGTAGCCAAAGCCAATTGCAACAGCAGGGGCGGGGGCGGGGGCGGGGGGTGCGTGTCTATGCTGTCAGCATGTGTTAGCAACATGTCGCTGGCAGCAACAACAGAAGAAAAAGCGCGCGTTTTGCGGTTTTCTTTGCAATAAACAGAAAGAAAATAATATCGAAAAAAAAAAAAATTGCAATTGCACATCAGCAAAACACAAACGCGCAGTCGCTGCGCAGTCGCGGCTGCCTGCTGCCTGCTGCTTCCCACGAGAAGGCAATTTGTTTTTGTTGCTGTGCGCTTTGCCCGGCAGCTACAAGAGTGCATCTCAAGCTGCAACATCTGCAACATCTGCAACTTGTTGCCGCAACCAACAATTGCGATTTAATGCTCCGCCTGGCCCACACACACCGTTATGAGTCATCCTGGAGCCTCACCCTGTTTCAAATGACAAATGTCACCAGATCTAAAAGCAGCAAAAAAGCCAAAAAACTATAAACATAAAAAGTCGTTAAGAGAGGGGAGGGGCGGCGTCGGCGTGCACCGCCCACTGGCAGTGCCGCAGTGCGCCAGCGTCTAACACACACACACATATAGAGAGAGACACACACCCATACGGTATAAATTATTAAAATGACAACAATGAACTGCGTCTGGCAACATTTTGGGCAGCGCTAGCAACATTTTATATTTTTGCCGTGCCAGGCTAAAGTTTGGCAACATTCTGTTATATGTACATATATGTATGTATATGTATATCTGTACATTTGTACATATGTATGTATGTATGTACATGCACGACGCAACGTCTCCAGTTAAGGCAACAACAACTTCCAACCAAAAAGGGAGGCTCGTTGGCGTCGGCATCGTCGTCATTGCCAAAAAAAAAAAAACAGTAAAATAAAATGAAAAAATGAATAAAAGCAGCAGCGCATGGGGAGTGCGTGTGTAAAGAGCAGCACAATACGCCGTCGCCGTCGACGTCGACGTCGACCTTGAGCATAACAATTTATTGCTAAACGTGTGCGAATAAGCAGCATAATGAACGCTTGCGAGCGAGCGAGACACACAAACTAAGAGAGTGAGTGACAGAACGAGACGCACACGAAGAGAGACAACAGACAGTGGCGGCAGCGGAGGCAGCGGCGTGCGCGTTTGTGGAAGCAAAAGACGCGCCTAGCAACAGCGCGCCACGTAGCAAGAAGCAGCACAAGCATAGCAGAAGTACGAAAGAAAAAAAATGTTAGCCGTCGTCGTCACAGCCTTTGGACCATTGTTAAAGCTTTTTGTGTTGTCGTTGTCGTTGCCCTTCTTCTTGTTGTTGTTCTTGTTACTGGGTGGTATTTTTTTTTTTGGGGTTGGGCGAATGTTGTAACTTGGCGCTAAAAGTTGCCACAGCCAGACGCATAAATTTGTGCCCCCAGCGAAAGTAAAATAAAATAAAACAGCTAAATATGGTAAAAGGAATGTTGAACAGCATTTTCCCACATACACACACACACACAGACACACACGCATATATATACACATATACATTCAGACTCTTTGCCCACGTGCGCCGCCCCCCCCCCCCCCCCTTACTCGATGTCTGCACACAGCACGCATCGTCGCACTATTTCTGGTTAGTTTTATTTAATTGGTAATACACACAACAAAAACAACAACAACAAAAACAAAAACAACAACACTCAAGCTTTTTCTCATAAACTTTTGCGTTCCTGTTTCGTTTTGGTTTCTACGCACTATTTTATGATTATTCGACCTTCGTTCAGTTCATTAGCATTCTTTTTTATTTCGAATTGGATTCGGTACTCGAAATAACACACGCATAGCAGCAACAACAACAACAACAACGACAACAATAGCAGTTCGTTTAGTTCTGTTTCTCTTTTTTTCGTACGCATAGCAAAAGGTGCGAAAATGCCAATAAAACAACAATTACAACAACAACAACAGCTGCTGCCAGCATATAAGCATATACATAAGTAAATAATATGTATGTATGTATGTATATGTATCACATGTATATGCATGTATGCATGTATTGCATGTATTGCATGTATTGCATGCACACATGATCATCTATTAGCAAGCTAGCGACACCTAGCGGCAACTGAGGATCAATAAACACTCGAAAAGCTCAAAGTTAACTGTTACACATAACTCTTTGCTCTTCGCTCTCTTTTCAGCGCAGTCCCGTTAACATTACAATCTCGTCTTCCCGAATTGCTAATGAAGCGTCACGCGCACACTTGCGCATAGCGACAAGCACAAGCTTTTAATCTGCAGCACGCACCTGTTGTAGTTATTGTTATTGTTGCTGCCGCTGTTGCTGTGCGTACAAATTGAAATACGCAAAAGTTTGTTCAAATTGAGTTTGATTTTGCCTTTTTGTTGCCAAGTGTCGTGCGAAACACTGCGTGTGTGTGTGCGTGTATCAAGTCGACTCGACGCTTTTCTTTCGACAAATTATTCATTCACATACATACATACATACATACATGCATACATATTTATGTTACGTTTTCAATTATCAACGCTGCCCAACGGCTGCTATCAGCAAAAGGCGGCAACAACAATTCGTAGCGACTTTCGCACGTTGCGCGTTTTTTTTTATCGTCTCACGCGCGCGACTTTTTGGCAATCGCATTCACCAAAGCACACACACATACACATAACGAATACAAATTCATGTATGTGCGTGTGCGTGTAAGTGTATAGAGAATTCGAGCAGCATCAGAGCCAAAAAAATGTTTATTGTGTGGGCGTTTTTCGCTAATAGTTGAACACACACACACACACACACACACACACAGGCACACAAAACTATTTACACACATGAAATTGGGCAGAGGCAGCGAAATATATCTGCGCCTAGTAACAGGCACACACGTAAGTATTATAAACTGTTAAACTACATAACAGTATTTATTAATAATGAAGCATTTGAGCATATTTTTAACAGTTTAATGCAAGCTATCGAATAGAGTATTGCAAATCCGAGTCATTTGCGCATCTCTATCTAATAACGGTAATCGTGTACCGTTATCGAAGGCGGCTTTTGCTTGCTTTCATTCAATTATTAACGGCAATGAAATCCTCGTTAAAAACACTCAAGCCTTGGCCTGTTCGTTCTCTCTCTCTCTCTCTCTCTCTCTGCCTACGGTAACTAAAGCGAAGAATATCCCATAGAGAACATGTCGCACCCTGAATACTCTTGAAGACTAGTAATAATACTAGCACATTAATACTGAGCCCATTTGCACGCACTTCAACGATTCGTAATTTACATGTTACCGATATCTTCCTTATCATTCCTTATTATATAACAATTGGTAGATATCTTATTTCGCACGGCACACAACATCACTAATGTACATACATTCTGCAAGAGTATTTCATATAAACTGACCAAATTCGCTAAACGCGACGTCGACGTCGGCGTCGCTGCCGCTGCCGTCTGCAATTGTGAATCTGTCGCTGAGGCAGTGCGTCGCGTCATGGTAAACACAAGAATGAGCGTGCGAGCGAGAGAGAGCGAGAGCGAAAGACATACCTGTGCAATTTTGCCGGCGTAGACGCCGAAGCCGACGCGTCGGTTGCTGCTTGACGGCAATCTGAGTGCGCTTGTATGCATGTTTTGTTTTGCTTTTGTTTTCGCGTTTTATTTTATTATTATGACAGATATCACGAAAAAGGTAACAATAATAATAATAAGTGCGATGGGGGGGTGCACAGGGGAAGCAATAAGAATTAAGGAACCAGATTGCCGCCCATGCATGCATGCTTGCATGTCTGCGGCTGTATGTGTGTGTGTGTGTGTGTGTGTGTGAGTATGTGTGCATTGGACTGCAGTTTGTGAATGAAAAAGCTTTACGCGCCAAATTGTTGTTGTATTTGTGTGCGAGTAAAAGGTAGTAGTAGTAGTAGCAGTAGTAGTAGTAGTAAAAATGTAGATTTCTTACTGCGAGGGTAGCTCAGTATGTTTTAGACTGTTATAATTTGATTCTAACAAGCAAAGGAAGGGGCAGCAGGAGCAAGGACTTTGCAAAAAGACATTGAACCCATAAACTAAAACCAAATCAGCCTGGGTGAGCGGGCGCAGGGTGTGGCGGCGATGACGCCACGTGGCATGAGCGCAGACATCCTTGAAACATGGGTTGTTGGCCACAAACAGAAAAGAGAGAGAGGAGAGAGAGAGAGAGGGAGAGAGAGCGAGCGCGTGTTTAAGAGAAATGGCTTTTTGGGCGTAGCACAAACTGCGCAAGACGTCGCTTGGGGATGCTTTCCTACAATGTGCGAGAGGATGACGCCATGGGCCCGCGGGCCGAACAGCTCATCAACACACACATACATACACGCACACACACACATAGAGAAAGCACATAATGAGCCATGAAAGCCACGCGCCATCACTAGCTGTAGGAAAAAAAAAGGGGGGGGGGGGGGAATATGTGGCGTTGTGTAATGCGTAGGCTAGAAGGCGCCAACGAAATATACAAATAATGCCTGGCGAGGGGGGGGGGGGGTTGAATTTGGTGCTGGAAAAGGAAAATCAATGAAAGCTTTTTGCCAGCCCGAAAAGACAAAAAACAAACATCACAACGACAACCGGCAAAAGTGCGCTGCCGCTGCTCTCAGCGTGTGGGCGTGTGTAATGCGTGCAACAAAAGTTTACTACGTTTGCTGTTGACGTAGGCGATCGATTTTTAGGCGCGTCATCGTTTGCCCACACTTCAGCAGCAGCGCAGCAGCAGCAGCGCAGACCAACACTAGTTGAATGTCTGGGCGAGGCAAAGGATGATGAGATTATGAAGTGTGAGCAAGGGAGGAGGATGGAGGGTGGAGGTGAGTTCGCATTACTTAATGCCGTTCGATCGACAGACTGACAGACAAGAGAGCGCAAGAGAGTGCGAGAGCGCGAGAGAGCGGAGCGCAAGCAATGCAATTGTGAATGCATTGGACGAGTGCCGTTGTAACGATGGCTCGCGTAGACTAAAAATAGTAAAAGCCAATAATAGCTGTTGTCTGTGCTTTGGGTACAAACTACAGTAATATACACATACACATACATATATACAGTAAATAACTGTGCAAGGGCAGCAGCATAATTGAAAGTAGATACAGAGTATAACAGTGCTCTTGTATACCAGTAGAACGCATATGTAATTGTATAAAGTGTTATATTGGGAGATAGCTTTAAGGGATTAACTCACCAGAATCGGAGGGCGTGTCCAGATTAGTCTCCACCTCGTTGGAGCGCGTATAACTGTGATCGCTTATGTGCCGCATGTAGTTGCAATCGATCGAGGCAGCCGAGCCGCAGCTGGAGTTGCCCATGGAGCAATCGCCATCATCTGAATCACAATCGGAACTGGTCGCGTTCGTTGCCGGCGGCGACAGTGTGACAACTGTTGCAGCCGCTGACGCTGCCGCTGCCGCCGCCTTTGCTGCGGCCTTTGCTGCGGCCTTTGCTGCCGCCGTTTGCTCCGACTGCTGATTGAGCACCTCAAGCACATCGCTGAACTGCGGCGCAGTCGTGAGCCGATACGGCAGATCGATGCGCTCCTTGCTCGTATTCTGCAGCTCCCGGCTGAGATGATCGATGGCAGCGGCGCTGCTCGTCAGCGCAATATTGTTGCTGCCCATGACGCAGGCGTGCAGATCCACATTGTGACGGAATTCCGGCAATATCTCATCATCGGGCAGCACAAGGCAGTTGTTGCTGCTGCTGTTGTTGTTGCTGGCTGTGGCCAAGTCGATAAGACGTTGCTGCTGCTGTTGTTGCAACAGTTGCTGCTGCTTGTGCTGCGTGTTGCTCTTGCGCAGCAGCGAAGTGCCTGGCGGTATATACGGTTCAATGTGAAGCACTCGACTTGGTATCGCAATTGTTGCTGTTGCTGCAGCTGCAGCTGCTGCTGCTGTCGCTTTGCCAGTTGACCTGCAACTGTTGCTGTTGATTTTTCTACTGCTGCTGCTGCTGCTGCTGTAGTTGTTGTTGTTGTTGTTGTCGCTGTTCCGCTGGTTCGCTTGTTGCTCCTCCTCCTCCTCCTCCTCCTGCTCATCCTCCTCTTCCTCCGGTTCGCGTTTGATTAGCAACGTGTTGCCCGTGACAAAGGCTGGCGGCACAGCGCTGCTCTCGCTATAACTGGACGCAGCCGAATTGCTGTTGTTGTTGCTGTTGTTGTTGCTGCTGCTGCTGATGTGTTTGTTGCTGAGTATGCTGCTGCTGCTGCCGCCGCCGTTGCCAATGCAATTGGCCATGTTGCTGGCGAACACGGACCACATGCAGTCCATATTGCGTATCTCGGGCTTTATGTCCAGATCGCCGAAATCGTCATGGTGCGAGATGCTCAGCGAGTGCGTCCGATTGGCCGCGATCCGTTCCACATCGTTCTGTATGCTGGGCAGCCTGTCAGCCAGATCGTTCAGGTTGGGCATGCCGCAGTCAAGTAGATCATTCAATTCGATGTCGTCAAGGGTGGGGCAATCGTCATAGTCGTAGTCGCAGCCCGTCATAATGCCCCCGTTGCAAACGGTCGTCATCTTTCGGCTGGTTTATTTGTTAATCTTGTCCTGGTTGGCAAGTGGGCTGGGTGTCCTGATATAGCACAGTTTCTAGCTGCAAGCTGGTTAAGCGAAGAGAAACAACGTAAATATTGAAAATAAGTGTTGGCAAATGTTCTACATAAGACTAGTGTTAGACATGCTCGTTCCGATCTTTGACATTGACTAGACTAGCGGATACCCTGTACCCAAACGGCCGTCAGCTATCAATCTATCCCAATCTCCATCTACAGTCTAGAGTGTGGAAATATTTTGATATTGACTAGACTAGCGGATACCCTGTACCAACTCAATCTACTTTCTAAAGTGTGGAAATATTTTAACTTGTCCATAAACTAGAATCCCTTAGAGACGCCTCGATTTGAAGACACGAATTGCGTGACAGCTCGTCTAAATATTTTGCATTATATTGACATTTTATAGTATTTTTCATTTATTTAATTTTCTAATCCATACGAAAGCTTTTTTTTTATATTGAAATTAAAATTCTAGTACTTTCTTATTGAACACACACACGCAACATTTTCGATTTGCTTTCTTCTTTGCCCAATTCTTCATTTCATTTTCTTCGATTATTCGTTGTTCTGCAGCCTCATCCTTGCGAAATAGATACACACACACATACATACATACATAGGCGCTGCAAGTGCGTATAACACGATTTACAATTTACGAAGTCGCCATCTTGAAAGCACGAAGAAAAGAAACAGGACACACGACATAGAGAGAACATTGTCAAAATTGCTGTCAGTCTTGTCTTGAATTTGATTTTCATTTTCATTTTCAGTTTCACTGCGCTAACACAGTCGCTGCTCCCTTTGCCGCTGGCGCAGCTGCTGACGTCGACAGCAGTTCAGAGAAGTTATCAGAGCAATGCGAATGCGAGAGCCGCTTTTAATTATAAATAAATTGTTTGATTTTATTTGATTTCCGATCCAAATGACTTGGCAACACGCGGGCATTTTGTCGTTTTGTCTCAAATATTTTACTCGCACACACACACACACACACACACACGCGCGCGCGCGCGCACAAGCGCCACTCGCAATAACAGTTAACTGATAAAAGCTGATCTCTTCGTCGCATCGCATCCATCTCTGTCCCCCTCTTTCGCGTGCTTGCTCTTTTATTTGCACGAGCAAAAAACGTTACACGATTATCGCTTGCGCTCTTTCCTCTTTGCGCTCTTCCCTCTTGCCTCTTCCCACTGCAGCACTTGGCACTTGCACACAACTGACCAAAACGGTAAACTGCAAAATATTGACGCGTCGCCCCGACGTCTGTGTCTCTGTGCCTCTTGCCCCTTCCTTAGACGCACGCAAGAGAAAGCGAAAACGAAGGATACTGCAAACTTCAAGAAATGCCGGCATAGTTGTCGCCTGTGTGCGTGTGTGCGCGTGTGTGTGTGTGTACACAACACGAAAAGGGCTTTAAGTATGCGTCAGTGTGTGTCTGTCTGTGCGTCTGTATGTGTTTCTCTCAGTCGTGCTCTCGACTTGCTTCTTACTATTTTTCTTCTACTGCTTCTAATTGCAATATGCATGCACATACATACATACCTACATACCTACATACATACATACATCACTTGAATTCAATTTTAGTGATTTCGCTTTTCTAGTTTCATTCTTACACGGAACTTACCTTAACTGCGTATATGTCCCGGTAGAGGAAATTAAATATTTAATCCAGATTTGTAACTGTTGTTATTAAATGCTGCTTCCGCTTTTCCTTTTCTTTTCTTTTTTTTTTTTTGTTGCACACTTGAAATTGTCGTAACAGAACAGCAAAAAAAAATATAGACACCCGAAAAAAAATAATAGCAGTGTAAGCGAAGCTGACTGCTAGCAAGACAAAAAAAAAATAATAGTAATATTCACACTAAAACTTTTACGTTGAGCCGCCGCGTAGAGTAATTCTTGCTTCTCCTTTTGAAGCTTCTTCTGTGATGCTCGCAGCAGCGAATCGTAAGCGAAGGTGAAGAAGCTGCATCTATTGCTCTCCTCCGTCTATTCTTTTGACACACGCACACAAACGCACGACGAAGCCACTCGCAATTGGAGCTAACAATTGTCTCAACTTGTAGCGGTATTTATTTATCTTTTTTCTTTTTTTTCTTTTCGTAACTTCACATTCACTTTTGCTGAGCAGAGAAGCTTTGCTCGCAGACTTTCGGCTGATGTTGCCGAATCAGTCGAGTTAGTAGTCGTAGGAATTGAAAGAATTTTGAGAAATGTCTAGAATTTTGTATTTCTGCTTATTTTTAGTGGCGTGTCCGATTTAAAGAAATATTTTATTTTTCTTTTCGCACTTGTAATTGATTTTTGGTACTCTCTATTTAATTTTTGTTTTTTTGTTTTTTTTTAAATTAGTCCGACCGGAATTTTGTGGTTTCTGCTTATTTATTTATTTTTAATTTTTTTGGTAACTATAATTGTATTGTTGTCGTCTTTGCCTAGTTATGAAATTTCAGATTATTTCATATGAATTTGATTTGATTTGTTTTTTATTTTTTTGTTGGGCGGGAAACAGCCAAAACCTACAAAGACGAAGAGCCAACTACGCGCCGCACGTTCATCCGTGCCGGAGTCACAAATAAGAGTGTTCAGAATTTAAAGCAGATAACTCAAACTTACAGAAATCGGCGTGCCCGCACTATCAGCTGCTGTATTTCTCTCCGAGCGTGGTGAGATGGTGAGCTTAGCGACGAGCGCTAGACATTGAGTAGAAATCGTTTGGTGTGAGTTGTGGTGTGTATTATTGTGTTTGCCTGCTTGTTACACACATGCACACATACATGCATATACGAATTGTGACTTGGCTGACTCAATGTAGATTTCATGAAACAGCGCAGCGAAAAAGCTTCTAAATAGCTCACGTGTTTCGCTCTCAGTTAAACTGGGACTCTCTGTTTATTTACCTTTGTTTTTGGGCCCGGCCGGCCGGCCGGTCGGCCTGGCCAGGTTTTGAGTACAATTTTTATGGAGAGTAAGCGTGAGCGTGTGCCGGACCGTGAGCGTGAGCGTGAGCGTGAGCATGTGTGCGCGTTTATATGCGGCCATGTATTGGGCCTCTTGTTTGTTTTGAGTGAAATCGACGATATCTGAGTTTTGTTTACAAAACAAAATGCGTTTTCTTGTTGTGATTGTAACGAAAATAAACAATAACAATTAGGTGAAATGTGCGTATGCAAATGCATGTGCGGGCGAATTTCTGCTATAATTAAATATGCACATATATGCATGTATGTACATATGCTTGCGCGTGTGTCTGCCCACTTGTATGCATGTGTCTTAAATCCACACACATGCACACATCTATGATGCATGTAGGTGCTTGCGGCGCATTAACGCTGCATGCGTGCGTGCGTGCGTGCGTGCGTGCGTGCGTGCGTACATATGCACACACACACACACGTGTAATTTAAGCTGCTTAAGCTCCCCCCGCCCACATTCTAGTCAACAGTTGACAACTCCAATTTCAGTTTTAGTTTGTCAAGTTGATTGAACCCATGAACTTTGTGCGGCAGCTGAAAGCAAAACCGAAACTAAAACACAACAAAAGCAAACAGAAACAGAAGTAGAAGCAGAAGCACAAGCAGAAGCAGACGCAGCGCAAAGTGAATAACAAAATAAAAAAGAAGAAACAGCAACTTTATACGATGCCTTGAGGTAGGTTTCATATCTAATTAAATTATGGGCACCAAATGTGCAAGAAGAAGAAGAAGTTCTGCTCGGACAGGCTCGACTAGGAGATATCTTATATACATATTCACCTAATGCAATAGGCAACACACACACACACACACACACACACACACACACATACATACATATTACATATATGCATTGGAAAAGGACAATTCTTTTTTTGCATAATTTTTGTGTGGGAGAAGCATCGATAATTATCGATTTGTAGGCAACGGCATGAACGATATGTTGATCTTGTTTTTCGAGAATTTAATATTTAGTATGCTCGGGCAGATACTTTTGATTATAAAATAAATTAAAAATTAAATTCATATACATATGTAGTTTATAATTATAATTATATAGGTCAATCATAGTTTGATCAGTTCCAGATTCAACGACGGGTAATTTTTGTCGCAACATATTTCGAAAGAAGTTAAAAATACCATCTGCAAAAGTGTTTAATCCTAGAACGTATTTTCTTGAAATTTTTTTTTTGTTGATTTTTTTAAATTTTTTACATTGTGAAATTTATTGCAGCTGCTCTAAAAATATTTCAATAAATTAACTAATTATTTTTATTATTTAAAAATGATTATTTAACTTAATATTTTAGCTAGTTTCCTAGTTTCGCTTCCAAACCATGTTGCCAAGTTTATGTAACTCTGGTGAGGGTATCACAGCCAATTGCGTCCCCACAAGAAAGTTTTCCGAAGTTTTCCATACATACACTTGCACACACACACACAGATATCACAGCGGACCAGTTTGGAACCTTCAACAAAGTGAACCCCTCTAGACATAGAGGGGCTTTCCTCGAAGGGTTAAGCTGGGAAATGGGCTCCCAAATTGCCGAACATCATTTGTATTTGCTATAGAACATTTAGCCAGGCCTATAAGCAATGACAATACGTTATCAAATTGTTAAAATTGAAATTGGATTATATTTGCATCAGATTATATAGAGATCGGCAGAGAATGGCGAGGATATAAATTATGAGCTTAAGAATGCCACATTTGAGTATTGAAAAGTTCATATGGTTGGTTAGTGCAGAGTATCTCGTAGTCGACTAGAGCCCCAAAACATGTTATGATTTAAGTTTCTAAAAAGAACAAAAACAAACGTTGCTTTTTGCCTGCGTGAGAGAGTACGCACATGCACACATAGATTTCAATACAATTACATGCATACAGTTACATACACATACATATGCATGCACGAATGTGTGTGCGTGTGCTTTGCATCGATTTGCCCGTTATTTTGGTCAAAATTCGTTTTTGCAGTCGATTTATTTCGTATTCGTTTTCGTTGATTTTGCATTTTGCACTTTCGGCGCGTGCATTTTGTTATTGTTGCTTTTGCTGTCGTTGTTGTTGTTGTTGTTGTTGTTGGCCCTTGGCTCTTTTCTATGGCAATTCCTGCTTCGCGTACGTTACGTACACACATATTTATATGTACATATTTTGTTTTGTTTTTCAATTCGCAACGAATGCGCGACGCCGACGCCGACGTCGACGCCGACGCCGACGCAAACAGAATTGTAGAAGAAGCTTTCGTTGCCGCGCATTTTGCCTATGCCAATTTTTTTTGTTATTTTCCCTTTGTACACTTTCATTTAGTTTTAGTTGTACTGCGCTGCACTATAATATTTCCAATGTTGTTCTTGCTTTTGTTGGTATTTTCCACAATTATTTGCGCGTGTGTAAAATTTTTTGCTCGTTCTGCTTGCTGTTGTTGTTGTTGTTGTTGTTGTTGTTGCGTCTTTGCCATTTGCCATAGTACAAAATGCTACGCCATTGCGGCGAAAGCCAACTGCGTAAATAAAGGCAACAAGTGTGGCCCTCAGTCGGCGTCAGGCAGCGTGCGGCAGCGCAGTCGGCGTTACAGTTGTTAATTGTTGTTGTGCTTATGTTAGTAATGCTTCAATGCAAAATTATCTAATTTTAATGCTAATTCTAAAAAGTCATTAATATCGCAATATTAATTGGTTTTCATCTTTCATATGATTGCGCAATTCGTAACGGCGCATCAATAAACATTCTCTCACAACAAGTGTGCATTATCCAAGAGTCGCGCAAGCTTTTACCGCAAAGGCGCCAGCCCGACCTCTCTCTCTCTCTCTCTCTCTCTCTCTCGCTAACTGTGTCCGTCCCGCCGCCCCCTTCCGCCATGTTTCTTAAGCTTGCTGCATATTTAACGGCTAACACGTGTAGCTACATTGTAATCGGACATGCAGGGCGGGCGTCTACCATGACAGGGAGGTTGGGCGGCAAACGACATGCCGTTACAGTTTACAGTTGATAAGAAGGCGTCGCCATTGTTGTTGTTGTAACTGTTTCTATTTTGTTTGGCAGGTGTTGCTGTAATTGCAATTTTAATGCGTCGCAGCAACAATTGTAATGGAACCGACAGAGTTGCCAATACATTCAAATATTTACATATGTCAATCAACATATTATGTGCATGCATGACATACATATACATATATGTATCCGATTGTCAGTGAATTTTAAAGCTCACTATGGAATTCGTTTCACACTTTTCGGGAATTTTACCTTCCTCAGGTGACAACGTTTACCACTATGATTGGCCTCGAACTCACTTTAAGAAATTGCGAATGAATGATTAAGAGAGGCAACTGGGCTCGGGCAACGCCGGGTAATACAGAGAATATAGAAGCATGTAACACATACATATGCATGTATGTACATGCGCATATGTACATATATGTAATACATGCTACTATTTCCAATTGTCCAATTGCCGATAATCAAAGCTACACGCAAAAAGTCTTATGACACAAACTTTGGCAACTTTGTTGCAAATTGCGTCGTTCTCCCAAAGGCCCTTTTAAGTTAAAGAGAGAAGCAAGTTTACATCGACCTTGAATACCGTTAAAAAGTTCGAGTTGGGCTTTCGGGCGCATACGTAATGCAATCCCTTTGCAGCCTCAAATCAGGTTAATATATATATATATATATATATATATATATGTATATGAATACAAAAATGTAGAAATGTTAAAGTCAGGACAGTTTCCAAGGACGTTGACAACCCACACACGATAAACAACGGGATTACATCTGTTTACATTATGTGCTTGGTCCAAAATAGACTCTGTAGAGGAAATTTTGTTTTGAATTATCCTTCGTGGAGTTCTTATAATTAATTTTCGTAGAATTATGCTTCGTGTTAAATTTATTTAACTTGTATTAATAAATATCGACCCCTAAATTCAGATTTTTGTTGTATTAAATATTCCTTTTTTATCCAAATATATAAATATTTACCTATTTCAATGTGAACTACGTTTTTGTAGCTATTCCTTAAAGGGCAAACATACATACATATATGTATGTATGCATGTACATATGTATGTATGCACATGTATTTGCTTGCAATATTCATGAACTTTTCATTCTTAATTATAAGTTTCTAGTCCCAATTGAAGGGTGTGCGCTGTTTGGTGTGATCTTTTTTTTTTTTTGGTTGTTTTTCCAGGCAACACCCACTGTGGACGTTGCGCCAAAAAATGCAATAATAAATTACATATATGTATGTACGATGAGAGCTTTTACGGTTAAATTCTTGGCGTGATTCATAACAGTAAGCGTGGACAAGAAGAGGGCAGGCAAAAGCTTTGGGAATTTCATCATTTTGCGCTCAAGCCCAAATGAGTGCAAACGAATTGCAATAATCCAAATGGTTTTGTTTGCAGTGACAGTATGTATGCATGTACATATGTATGTATGTGCATGTATGATGTATGCGTTATTGCTTTTATCTATGCATGTATTTGTACATATTTGAGTACACTTGAGTGTGGCATTTGAAGTGCATTTGTTTATCAATTGAAAAGGTTTGCTCAGAGGTCAGGTCAGGGCAGGGGACGATGACAATCGAAATGCAGATGTGCAGCAATTGGTGAATTTCGCAAGGATTACGCACAAGTGCAAAAAAAAATCAAACTCAACGCAAAGAAGACAAGACAACAGAAGCAGCAACAACAAGAACTACAAGAACAACGATAATATGCCTAACACGAGTAAACAGGCAGAAACAGCAGCAGCTGCAAAAATAACAATACGCAAAGAAGACAGCGACAAAGACAATGCCAAAGACGCTGCTCGCAGTGGTACGCCGCGACTGTACTCTATACACACACATACAGGCATACAGGCCGAGAGACATTTAGCAAAAAGGAGACAACAAATGCAGCGTTGAGCTTTATAACGGAATGAACCTGCGCTCGCACAGAAACACTCAAACACACGCACACAGAGAGGGCACTATTTGTTGTTGTTGTTGTTGTTTGGTTTCGTTGTATGAGCGCGCGTCAGCGCCGGCCAAGAAAGTGCACTCAAAACAAAACCAAGAAAGAAAATACATGCTTGACAAATTGCTCTCAAGCTTTGCGGCGAGTGCGGCGAGTAAAAACTGCTCAGTTGGCACTGGTCGGCACACACTCTTCAAGCAGCGTTGTGGAAGTCGTTGCCGGTTCTTGATTGTTCCTTGCCGGTATTTCACAATGTGTTTATATTTTGCATGGTACATACAGATGTGTGTATATTAAAATGTATATATATCTAGATGCATTTACATACATACACATCACGTATGTATTGAATTTCACAAACAATTGAAACAGAAACAATTAACTAATTATAGAACTCATAGGCCAGTCTGTAGTATTGCAAAAAATTGTGATGCATGTATGTATGTAAATGTGCGATACCGTTGAAAGGCGCTCATGAGTGGAACTGTGACGGCGCAAGAGAGCAAAACAATACACCACACTGTGGTGAGCACTGGACTGAGCAATTGAGCGCGATTAGCGTGAGAGCGAGCGGCGTTTGAGTGAAAATCTCAATTGCCTGGCAGCATGTTGCGGCAGCATGTTGAAAAGAATATGCAGCTAAACACAAACAGATACATTTTACAGTTAAGTAGAAAAGGTTCTTCAAAAGCCTTCGATGGGCAGTCGTGTGGGAAGTAAAGTGGAAAGGGTGGGTGAGGGGGGCTGCTGCTGAATATTTGCGAGATTTCTTTTTCTGCCAATCAAGGACATTTGCCATTTTTTCGATGGCCTTTTACGCAACCAGAGTCTGCCCCGAAATTACATTAAACATTTAAAGGTGTCTGAAGGGAGTTACAGGTTGTGGGGCAGGGAGGGACGGTGGGCCTGGAGCCGCTCCTTTTTTTACACACACACACAGACACACGTGCAGGAAAATGTCTGCTTATCCTTTTCATTTTGTTTGTCTTGCGGCCTGTCTGCAAATTTGGCACAAATACTCAACTGGACGGGCAAAGCCTCGAGGCAGAGGCAGCTTAGCAGAGGGGGAGGGGGTAGGTGTAGGTGGGCATGGCGAAAAGCGGCGACGTGTGTCTCTCGCACTGCGTGCTGTCTGCGACCTTCAAAACCCCATAATGGAATCCGAGCAACAGCAACAACAACATGGCCAAAACAAACTTGCCAGACAACAAAAAGGAGCAGGACATTCAACTTGCCGAGCCGCACCAGAATGCGTGCGAGGGGTTGGGGGAGGCGGAGCAGAGACACAGACAGCCAAAGACTGGCGGGGAGAGGGCAAAAGAGAGCGAGACAGAGAGAGAGAGCGCGACTGGGAGGGGGAGCTAGGGACGGGTACTTGCGTACTGCGCAATCAAGAAAATCTACAAGGACTTCGTCCTTCACCATCCGATTGTCGTCCTTGTCGGCGTCGCCTACGCTTTCCATGAAGGTCACACAGCAACAGCAACATAACATCCCGACGCCGTCTTTGCATCCTTGCTTTCGGCTGCTTTTCCTGTGGCTGTGGCTCCGCATCCTGATTGGGGCCATAACAAAGTCTGGGCTACCGCCATCAGCATCAATTCAGCTGGGAAACTGGGCTTGGCATTGGGACTTGGGCTGCAACTGGGGACTGGGAAATGGCATCCAGACAGCTCCATCTCCGACCTCGACTCCGACTCCGACTCCAGGCTACCAGGCTCAAGGACACGACTGCGGGCTAATGCCTAAGTATCATTACAGAAGGCGAACTTAAGGCGAACGACTTCAATATTGACTTCTGCTTCGGAATTCTGTGATTGATTTGTCTACATGTTTTCTCTGATTGACGAAGTGCCTGGCTAGCTGACTGATTGGCTTATTGATTGACCGGCTACTGACAGATTTATTGATTGACTGTCCGAACGATTGAAGGACTGATTGATTAACTGACTGATTGACCGGCTAACTGACTGATTTGCCAACAGATTGATTGACTAACTGGCTGACTGAAGACTGCCTGATTGATTGATTAAAGACAGATTAATTGACTGACTAAATGATTGACTAAATGATTGATTGAATGACTAAGTATCATTACAGCAGCGAACTTAAGGCGAACGACTTCAATATTGACTTCTGCTTCGGAATTCTGTGATTGATTTGTCTATATGTTTTCTCTGATTGACGAAGTGCCTGGCTAGCTGACTGATTGGCTTATTGATTGGCCGGTTACTGACAGATTTATTGATTGACTGTCCGAACGATTGAAGGACTGATTGATTAACTGAGTGATTGACTAACTGGCTGACTGAAGACTGCCTGATTGATTGATTAAAGACAGATTAATTGACTGACTAAATGATTGAATGATTTGCACGCAGATTCGTTGATTGAATGATGAATTCTTATTTCTGATCAATCCGCAGAAATTTGAAATTTTCGCTGTAGTTCGACAAATGTAATCGTGGAGGCTTAAGGCTATAGGGTCCAAATTTGTACTCTTAAGCTTTTAGTCAAGCTTAATAGGAAAACTAAATATAAAAATTAATTAACCATTTCAGATGATCTACAAAGGATGGAAGTTTTTTTCATCTTTATTTTGATTTCTATAAGAATAGTATTGTAAACTTCAAACTAACTAGATAGGGTTTGTACGGAAATACAAGAAGAATTAAAATGTCGTCCAACAAATGTTTTGAAGTAGTCAAAATGTTAATCCCTTTTGATAACACTGGCCTTTAACATACGCAGGACATAATCCGGATTGCAAGCCAAGGAAATGGCGGAATGTTTCATCAGTTATCACAAGACTGAGAGAGAGACTTTGCCAGCAACCAGGGAGTTCAGAGAATCAATCGCACTTAGGAAGCTGAACATAAAACAATAACAAGAAATAAGAGCCAACTCTTTAGTGTCGAGATGGGATAGAAATGTATTTCATAAACAGAACTTCGCCAAGCTCATATGTTATACATAGTCAAGGCAATCGCAACGAGGAAACAGATATACAATATAATACACTCGGACAGATGGACAGTCCGACATTTGTTGAGACTCAAGGTATTTACTATTGGGCGTCACATAGTTCGTATCGAGTCTGTTGCATCCTCTGCAAAAGGGCATCAAAGTGCCCGAAAAGTGGCGCACAAGTGGCCCGACAAAGGACCCACTCGAAACGCTAAGAGGGCAGCATCAGCAACAATAATATGCGCATTAGAATGCTGCTGGCCGGCGTATTCGAACTGCAAATACCCTGTAACGAGGCTGAAATAGTAAAAATGCATTTTGGAATGCCTCCTTTGACATCCATTGGCAATTGGACTTCAACTCTACCATCATATCTCAAGCATTCATCATATTTATAAGATTTGCAAGATATATCCATATCATGGCTTTATCATTTTCCAATAGCTTCTCCCATTTTTAGGCATAGCTGAAAGATTATATAAGCTTACTTTTTGTGAAAGTTCTCATATGATATATACACATGGAGAGTATTTCATTTTTTTGATACTCTTCCTATTCCCAGTTTATTGGGGCTTACATTTCGGATCGGACTACCGCAGCTATTTCCAGCAGGGCAAGAAGTATTTGTAGCTCGGATCTGAACTCAGATTATCTAATAGTTTTATTTAAATTGTTTTCCATTTTCATAATTAATAATAAACTCGAGTAAGTTAGTAAATAATGTAAAGAAAGTTAGTTAAATCAAATGTGATCGTTATAAGAACTGTACGTGTGTGTCGCCCGTTCCACGCATGGCTACAGGGTATACAGAGCGGAGTAATTGACGACAGCCGACAAAACAAAACAAAACAAAACAAAAAAGAAAAAACGACCCCACGCCCCGCCACAGCCAAGGTTCCGTGTGCTACGTCGGATTTGTTGGCCTACCTTGGATTCTGGTACGGGCTCTGAATGAGAATCTGACTCTGGGCACCGGGGCCCGGCACTTGGTTGCGCGTCTTCGTCAAAATGTTGCACTTGAGGTTATCTGAGGAAAATCATTAAACACACACACACACACACATGCAGACACACTCACAGAGAGACAGACAGCGCGCCGATAAGCATGAAAATCTAGCCTGCTGTCACGTCTCACTCTCGCTTTTCCACTCACTTTTACTTTCCTTTGCCCTAATGCTCTTTGCAAGTTTCCTGCGCTCCATTTCCACAAATGCCCTTTAATAATTTCCGATTTGTTTTAGACCAAGCCATCGAGAACCAAGTCGAGGCACTTGGGAAAATCGATCAACGTGCTGGAAAGAGAGATCTTTCAGTTTGCCGAATACCAAATACCTGCTTCTAGTCGCAATTCAATGTTATATTACCTTAAATTATCTAAATTACAAATTTTGATATGAAAGTTATTTGACTACTGAACTATTTGATTGAAAAACTACAACAAATATCACAAACGCTTTTCACGCATTTCCCACAGTTGCGAATGGAATTGCCTAATAATAAAATAATATTTCAGCTGGCTTGTTGCCTCAAAATTCTGACTGAAAGTGAAGAATAAAATAGAAATAAAATATATATGCACAGCACTAGGTATAAATAGATTAATCAGTTCATTTGAATTGAAGGTAATAAAAGTAGGATTTCCTAACGGGTTTCCACCCATTTTCCGCCTAGTTATGGCGACTCCAGTTTCCAGTATATGCATACGATTAGAAAGGGTACCGCAAATTACTGGGTATTTGAGTAGCGGGCACACCCGACTCGCACTAGTTATCAGCTGAAAATCCCTTTTCCCTTTCTTGGCCCACAGGCAAAAAGTCGCATCGGTCATACTATTTCCACCGTGAGCCGTGACCTTTTCTGCGCCATCTCCGACCGTATCGAGCACCCTATCGCATATATATATATATATATCTATATATGTATATATGTGCATACTCCCGATATTTTTGGCCACCCTTAGAAGATTTTTACAACAAATTTAGAATGCAGTTTGTTGGCACGACGACATCTCGATGGTTTTAAATTTAGCCCACCTGGGGATTGCCGTCATGTTGTTTGGCTATTTGGAGCGAGAGAAAGCGAGAGAGAGCGAGAGAGAGAGCGAGAGAGACATTTGTAGGAAAAGAGGAAAGAAAAAGAGAGGGGGAACCGCTATAAAGATATTTCGTACGCCTTTCAAATGCTTGCGACAGCTTCTATTAATCTGACTAACAGAGTATTTATCACAATACCGAAATCAATTAACAGGAGACAAAAGCTAAATGCGGATATCCGCAGCTTAAATACCCTTACAGACATATTAAGCATCGACAGTTTCCAATAGAGAAAATCCTGTCTCCATTGTCAAAAGGTGTCATAATAAGACGGTTCGTTTCCTTCTCGACCAGATGATACATCCATCCAGATGAACACTTAAATGGGATTATCCAAAAAAGAGAAAAACCTGCCTCCATAAGATGGGTTAGTAGGTCGGTTTGTTTCCTACCCTTCAGACGGTTAGCATCCAGATGAGCGTCGACATCCGCTTTAATCAAATTCACCCGTTTCAGCATTTTACTCACGGAATCTATTTACGCCTAATGTGGGTTCTTGTTGGGGATTCTGCGATTATTTATATCCATCTATTATTTTCTTTCTGAAAGTCTGCCTGAAAGTCAAGCAGTCTTAAATGTTGCCCTTGTTTAGGAATGACATTTATTTCTCTTTTCATAACTCTTACATTTTCATTATAAACTTATATATATACCATATGTTATACGAATCGCATTCAACGGCAGATAATTGGGTTTTTTGCTGTTGCTGTTGTTGTTCCTCTTGCCAAAATTTAGTGAAGAATTTGTTAAATAATAGTTTTATTGTGCCCAGTATTTATGGCTGTGACTGAAACAGTTGATTAGCCGAAATGGCATTTATGATATCATAACAATATCAACATTATAAATTAATTGTCGAGGGCCACACATGCGCCTGATATCAACCGGTGAAAGTAACTCTAATAATAAAACCAGCAATATAAATATCCGGACTCTAGTTTCCGGCCCGAGCACTCTCTGTGCGCTGTACTCATTCTACAATTGAATGGAGAAAGTCCATAATCAATGCCCATATCATATGCTAATACTATAATCCTTGTCAGATCAAGGTCCTCTACAGGTGGGTAGCACCCAGCACCTAGAAATACCTCTTGAGTCAGGTGCGTGTGCGAATGCGTATATCTCTCTCGGCTAGTTGGTTATATCTGGTGCAAAATCTTATCAAATGTCACGGACTTAAGTGGCATAGTATAATTCATTTTAAATACTCAACTAATTTGCTATCACTTTTTTTTTTTGTTAGTTGAGCTGACTATTCGAAGGTCGCTATTTTTCGTATCGCCCGAAAGTCGGATCTATATATATGTGTATGTAGCTGCCATATGAGCATATATGTACATATGTAGTCATACTTGTGCGTACATATATTTAATTTAATATATATGTATATATATATATACATATACACTCGGACGTATAGTTCTCAGCTATATATGTAAATACTTATCAATCAAGGTCTGCATCGCGCGATTCTGCAAATATGCTTTGTTAATCTCATACTATAACTCACGCACACACGCACACGCACACACATAGTATGTATGGTTGTTTTATTTAAAACTGCCCAACAAAAGCAACACATCGCCAGAACTATTAGGATTTTTTTATTTGATTTAACTTTGTACGTTTTTTCTTTCTTTCTTTTCTTTTTTTGTGAAATTTTTTATACGCATTTCGCACTATTCGTACGGCGGCGTTTAATTATATTATGATAATAAAAACAACAATAAATTGCTGGCCACAACGAAGGCCATGTCTAGTATTTGGTATATGGTTCTGGCCTGGCATATTTCTTCAATCTTTCCTCAAATTTCGCTTGAAATTCGTTTTCTGGCGTCACCATGGGAAATGGGAATTTGCGCCCAGACATAGGGTATTTCGTAGTTGTGCATTAAGTGTTAGTTAACTCGTCAGTTATCTAAAGTAACAGAGTTGCCAACAACCAGGGCTGCAGGCCCTTTCTCGGTTAGTGAAGTTGAATTTCTTACTATCTATAATAGAATTATTCAATTGTTAGTTCATTTTGTGATTTTTGTGAGTTCCTTATCCAAATGATCCAGTTCAAGGTTTGCTTCCTGCTAAACAAGGACAATTGTTCTTGCAGGCTTAAACTGATTCGGCTCACAAGCATGCTATAAACTAATAATATGTCGAATATATAAAGCGAAGGGTCTATAGACTTTTGGCTATGGACTTTGCTTGATATGACAGAATGTTAGTTAGTTCAGTGAGAGAAGAGACAAGGCAGAACCGCTAATTAATAAGCAGAGGCAAGGGCAAGAGATTTCGCATTAAGACTTTGAGGAAAGAGAAAAACGCGAAGCCGAATAATAAATCAGTAATAGGCGAGTATAGAAAAATATGGCAATATGCTAAAGGCGACGTTTAGAAGTTAATTAAGCAAATTGGAAGAACAAAAGCCGCCAAATGGTGGCCGGCCGAAAGGCGAGTTGTTTGGGGGGCTGGTGGGCAGTAGGTGCGGCACGCCCAATGGGGGGTGTCTGCGGTCTGATGGGCCAATATCTATTTTCATACATTTCCAATCACCGTTTGCCAATTGCCAATGGAGGCGAAAGATTAATGAACGCGCCGAGCCTGGGACCCAAGTTGATTCGCAAGCAAAGAATCTCGCCATGAGAAATGGAACTTCGACTCGAAGATACAGAGCCAAAAAGATACGTATAGTCCAATGGGACATGGCATGATGAGGCTATGCATAATTGAGCCGCATGCTGGGAGAGAGAGAGAGAGAGAGAGATGAAAAGCACGAAAGATCGAGATCGTCTTCTAGCTGGAAGACACTCTAGCTGACAATAAACTGGGTCGCATTTTCTGGACAAAAGGAAGCTTGCGAAGCATAGAGCAAAACACAAAGCGCAAGAAATCAAACAATAAAGCGGAGCTTGCTTAGAAAGGTTGAAATAGAAGCAACAAAAAAAAACTATGATAATCAAGTTTCTACAAATTCACATGCATACACACACACGCGCATACACATGTACATATATGTATGCATGCATACGTATCGGTGTGTGTCTTCTTTATGGGCTGGCGAAATAAAGAACGCCATACAAATTAAAATATTACATGGTTGACCCTGAAACTTGGATAACGCCGCGAATACATTAAGCGCGCCGGCACAGTGGGGCAAACACCATTTCGAGAGAGAAACAAAATTATATGAATGTAGAATGGATTATCCCGAACGGATTTTCTTTTTGTGAATGCCGTAAAACAATTATGTAAATATTAAATTATATGTAGTATAATTATACAGATATCTTGAAATTGCATTAATAGAAAACTTTTGAATCTGTTTCGATGAACTTATTTTTGCTTGCATTCTGGGACTTATTTAAAATTATAATATTTTTAAGAACAAATTTATAATTTTTGGTTTTTATAATAAATAGTTATGCTTTAAAGTTCCTTATCTCACTTGTGCTGAAAATTAAAATAAAATAAAACAGGTATATTTCTAGATCTACCAATAAAAACTCATTTCTATTAGGCTTCCCATTCCAGTATATTACCGATTTTCGATCTGAACTTAGATCGAAATTATTTTTGTTATATTTGCCAGGTTTTGCCTTGTCTTTACATCAGTTGAATTGTTCTAAATGGTCGCTGTCAGAATGGAAAGTGACTCTCACTTTTTAATCATTTTGTAAGCATGCGGCCCACTGTGCGGCCAATTCACACGTTTCACGCAATGTTCGTCGGTCGCGCCGATCTATTGCCGCCGACCACTGTGCCTGCTGCTCTTGTTGCCGTGCTGGATGGGCAGTGATACCTCCCGGTTGCAGCCCTTCAAAGGCCGTGCCAAAACCAAAAATAAACACTATTGATGATGTTTTTGTTGCTGGCCGTTTGTCCGAGACAAGTGTATAGAAATAGCCAGAATCGGAGCCAGGTCCAATGTGGCCAAAGGTGATCGGGTTTGTCGCGTGTGCCAATGGCGCGTTAAATATTGGTAGATCGCTCGATTGGCGATCGCGGCGCATGCGCGGCTTAGAGGCTGCTGAGGCTGTTAATTTTTTGTTAATTCACTAAAAGGGAGAGGCAGAGCTGGAACGGGCGGACAATAACCTGAAGCTGTTGGCTGAACTTGATGATCCCACAACTAAGCATGTGGTCTGGCACATTCCAAAGATTTGACAAATTCGCAGCTCGCTGCTGGCTAATTCATTAGATTCGTCATGCGTTTAGTTTCGGGGCTAATGCGTGCAAATTCTTTTTAATTAAAATCTCAAATACATATATACAGTGCTAAACATATGTACAAACACTTAACTATTTATATAAAACTGAGAGCTTTGCCCTTTGTTATATAAATTCCAC